TCTTTCAGCGTCCTGTAGTTCTTGTGTTAAAAGAAACAGAAATAACTCGGCCCTCGCTCAGCCTTCCCCTGATGATTTTGTAAGCCTCTGTCTCTTCCCGTCTTCAGGGTGGAAATGTCCTATCTTCATTTGTTGTTCCTTATGCAGCAGTCATGCTATACCTTTCTTTCACCCTTGTCTTTCTCTGAGCCTTTTCTGGACCCACTGTATCCTTCTTGAGATGATTTGAGTTACGAGGACATGATGACACAGTGCCATAACAATATTTTCTGTCTGTTCCTTGTGCCTTTTTTTTCACTGTTTCTGATGTTTGATTTGCTATTCTTTCTGCCTCTGAACAGATTTTCTCGTACAACTGTTACAATCTGACATTTTGGTTTACGTGTGCCAATAGTTACCTCAGAGCCCATTATTTTATTTGTGAAGTTAGGGCTTATTTTCCTAAAGTGCGTTGCTTCATTACCTGCTTCCCTAAAGAACATTGCTTACCTACACAGCGCTCTGCCTGTCCTTTTATCACCCTGCTACTCGGTCTCATCCTTCTCCAGTTCTTTGCAACTGGCTCTTGAATAACTGCCCTGAATAATTTGGTGTCATTAGCCAATTTTGTCATGTCATTCCTCTTTGCCGTGTTGTTTAAGGAAATGTTCGCGTGTGTCCTGTTACAGACCTGGTAGAGTTCTGTAGGTGCTCTCCCTCCACCAAGGGAACTGACCATCAATTTCTGCCCACCTTTTCTGTCTGCTTACCGTGAAAAGATTTGCCTTCTTATCCCATGGCTGCCCACTTTCCTTAGAAGTGTTTGCTGAGGAACTTCACAGGTAGCTAGATTATTTTCATGCGTATGATTGCATGACCCTTTCAAAGAACTCCAAGAGGCAGGATTTCCATACAAGAGTTAGAGTGACTCTTCCCAAAGCATATCATACTAATACGTGTCTATTAATTTTATTATTTTGTTATAATTTCTATTAACTTGGCCACTACAGATGTCAAGCCTTTATCTTTCTAAATCTCCCTAGACTTCTCTCCTCCCCGTTCTTTGATATATTCCATACCATCCTGTGATTTACCGATTAAAAGGCAGTTCAAGGCAAGAGGCCACCCACTGCTATTAGCAACTGTTTCCCCCCGAGTTTCTTGAGAACCCCTGGGACCACCTGGCGCAGACCTACTAATTCCATACCTTTTGCACAATCACTTTTATTTTGGACAGGTCCTTTGGTTTAGTCCCCTGCAAAACACGATTCTTGTGGGGGAATTTCTCCAATTTCTTCCACTGTCACAAATAATTAATTTAGCTTTGTTTCGATGTCCTTGTTCTCTCTGACTTCCTGATCTTCAGTTGTCCTCGAAGCTTGTGAAAAGGTTTCTGCTTTCAGTATCCATAGGAAAGGATTTATTACTAGTTCTGAAGGCTTCTGCTGGTTGTTTTTTGGACTCTTGTTTGTGGTTTTTGGTTTTGTGTGGTTTTACGCTTAATGGAAGTCATGATCACTTCAATTTTCCTCATTTGGATGCAAGGTCAGCTTGTTGAAGAATGCATACTGATAATCCCTTTGGCTCGACATTGTAGCCGCGCCAGCTTCCTTTTGTCAAATCTTCTAAAGAGGTACTAGGTGTTGGCTTTGGGCTGCCACGGCGGTGTCCCTGTGTAACCTCCATGCCACTCGTGGTGGCTGAATTCCCTCAGCTGCCCCTCTCCGTTCTGACCGGCCTATAACAACCATCTCACTTCCCTGCAGCTTCCACCGCAGCTGTGCTCAACTTCAAAAGGGGATTTTTTGGGGGGGGATGTGTGGGGTCACAGCTTGAGGATTCAAGTCCTTCTCTTTGCTTATGAATTCAGTTTTAACTCAACTGGTTCAGCTTGATTTTTCCAAAGAGGTAAGGCACGTGCAATGGTGCTGTCTCCTCTGCTGTTACGTGGACCTGCGCGCTAAATTGGGTGAAACTGGCTGTGAGGTGAAAGGCTGGCAGAGCGTTAGTGCCTCTGCGGCTTTCTGTTTGGGTCAGCTATCCAAACGGTGCCACCACAGCTTGCAGAACAACCACCTAAAGGCAGCAGCTGGAGCACGAGCAAGAAGGGAAAACAGCACCGTTGTCATGAGCAAACACACGAGTCCTAGAAAGGAGCTGGGGCTTGCGAGGTGCGTGGGAGTTGGGAGTGTGGGAGGTACCCGGCAGCGCTGAGTGGGGTTGAGATGAAAGACGTCTGTGGGGAAACACAGGTATTTTAGGAGGACAAGGCTGTACTGCCTGGGGTGGGCAGAACACCGGTGGAGCAGGAAGGGAGGAACCGAGGCACAGCAGTGGGAATGCAAGGAAACAAAGTGAGAGGTTTGGTTTGGTTTTGGTTTGTTTTTAAGCAAGGTTTTCTTTTTTTTTTTTCTGGTTTCAGCCCCACAACTAACTGCTGGGCTTGGTTCTCCCTATATCCCACCCATTTACATGCCATCAGTGCATATGAAATTCAAAGCACAAATTTTACCCTCAGGAGTATCACCTCACCATCGTTGCGCAAGAACCCAGCATTGTATCATATGGAAGTATGAATCAGGGTTGAATTTTGACAGTGAGCAACAACTATGAAGGCTGAAAAGGAAGAATTGAGCTGTCTGCACTCAAACATTGGGAACCTAGTGTATTCTAGTAAAATCAGCAGCTAGATCCTGAATTTGCATTTGAAATGCCACAGCTGTGCTTGGAGATGCATTTCAATAGCAGAAAGCTCGTGAAGCTACAACTTCTGTGACTTCCTTCTCCGTCTGCTGATTGCATTTCCCATTTCTTCACAGTGGAAATCTTGAAACCCTGCCAGGAAGTAAACCTTGTCCCCATGAGACTGTGTGCGTGTTGTGGTTCGGTTGACCGGGGACAGGAGGGGAAGCACGCAGAAGATAACTCTGACCGAAATCTCAGCATGAAATATGAGGGCATAACTAGGTTTCGACAAAGGCTTAATTCCAGTGAGAGGGCCAAGCCTGAAGACAAAGGAAAGTGCTGGAAGGATGTTGGAAAGAAAAGTAGGCAGCATGCATCTTCTCAAGGGACCAGGCTTCTGTCCTGCAGCTGGTCTTGTATAAAAGGCACCCTCTTTGCACACAATACAAAAAGGAGAAGTGAAGCCAGCTCAGTGGATGTGAGACACGAGGAGGCTCCTTGGTAAAGAAGTCCAACTACATATGCCCCTTCCTGTTTGGGGACAGTTCTCCATAATCTGTGTTCAGATGTCCACTACATCCCTCGCTTGCCCTTTACTGTCTGCCACATTGTTCTCCTCTGTTGTCCATGCATGTTCTTCCTTGCACTGTCCTATCTTACCTCCAGCTCTGCCCTCTGTACCCTCGGTGCTAGCTCCCTGGATGTCCCGCGAGCAACTTGTTCTGCTCTGCCTGGAGGAAATTCCAGCTAGCCAAATGAGCCAAGCAAAGCTTCCTCCTTCTTCCTTCTGGTTGTTTTGGAGACCTTACTGTGGCTTTTCAATACTTAGAGGAGGCTTGTAAGAAAGGTGGAGAGTTACTTTTTACCAGCACCTGTAGTAAGAGGACAAGGGGCACAGCTTTTAAACTGAAAGAAGCTAGATCTAGGTTAGATGTGAGGAAGAAATTCGTTATGATGAGGGTGATGAGACCCTGGCACAGATTGCCCAGAGAAGCTGTGGCTGCCCCATCCCTGGGAGTGTTCAAGGCCGGGTTGGATGGGGCTTTGAGCAACCTGGTCTGGTGGAAGGTGTCCCTGCCCATGGCAGGGGGGTTGGAACTGGGTGGTCTTTAAAGGTCTCTTCCAACCAAATCATTCTGTGATTCCTGAGTCCTATCTGCTGACTGAACCTTCTCACCCTTTTTCTCCAGGGTACCCTGTCTCATTGGCATTTCTTCTCAGAAGTCTTCCTGATTCGGCATGTGTCTCAGTAGCCATTTCCCTTAATTGTCTCCTTTCAACATCTGCCCCAGCTTGGAAGCAGACTAAACAGTAGCCTGACGTTTTCCCCAAGGCCATTATCAGAGGCCTTTACCAGAAAGCAGAAAAGAGAGATAAATGACAGCATTGGAGCAAAAAATACAAACCAACCCTTTTCGGCCTCAGAAATGAAGCCTGACTCACTGAAGCAAGCACTGCTCTGATCTTCCACAGACTGTAAATCAGGTTGTGATAGAAAGGTTTCTGTGTGTGCTCTTCCCAATAACCTCTCAAACCATCGACACCATTTTTTTTTATTATTCCCCTTTGCTTGTTCTCCTCCCTGACCCCAGCCTCATCCTTCTCTGTTTCTCCTTGGATATATCAAATGTCTGCTTATTCCTCTGCCTAAGGCTGCAGCTCCTCCATCTCACTTCTACAGGAATGGTTCCTCATTTGAGAGTTGTTCTAGTGCTAGCTGCTAACTGCGGCTGCCTGCCCAAATTGAGACATAGTGTATGATATTTAATGTAGGAAATGCAGCTTAACCACAGGAGACAAGTGAGGGCAGAATGCGTTTTGTTTGGGCTGAGCTGCAGGTTAAACTGGGCTAAGACCTGTGATAGCTGCAAACCTAAGAGCAATGGTAGAATTACTAACAGACAAAGAAAGGCGTGAAGACAAGGGAAGGAGAGAGAGTTAAAAAAGAGGGGTGAAAAAATTTTAAAAACCAAGAGATCTTAAAAAAGAAATCTATCCGCTGAGGGTCTGGTATGGGGAAGGAGTGCAATTTCCTTTTCAGTTGTTAGGTTCTCATTTTTCTTTTCTCTCTCAGAAGTTTCCATAGTGCCGGGGCTGATTTCCTGGACTAAGAAACTGAAGATCTGTTCAGAGCATTTCTGAGCTCCCAGGAATTCTCAGGTTATCGCCAGTGCTCCCAGTGTTCCGCACAGCCTTCTTTGACAGAGAGAAGGTGAATGAGCAGATGGGAAAGGCTCAGTGACTTACTGGTGTCTCTCTTTGGAACCAGGGACCTAAAAGGTCCACCTTTCACGTGGCAAAACTAAGGTCAGGGCCAGTGATCGCATCGTGATTAAATGGCATCAGAAGTCACCTACGCTGAGGTGAAGTTCAAGAATGCATCACCAGCTGCAGTAGTTGAAGGTAAGGAATGGATGGGTTATCCAGGGGGAGGAGACCTGGAGGGAGGTGGGCTGAAGGACAGGGAACGGAGACTTTTCCTTCTGTGAGACTGGTTTCTACTTGGTCTTGATAAATTGGTGAGAAAAAGGAGTTGTCTACTGCTGCAGGAGCAGAAGACTGGAGGAGTTTTGAAGTAAGAGGGTCAAGGAATGTCTACAAGAGGAGAGGTGGGAATCTTTAGGTGGTTGGCGTTGCAGCATGAACAAGGATGACTACTGGGAGCACAAACAGTGGCTTTCAAGTGAGCATTCAGTAAGGAACATATCTGAGCTCCCTTAGTCCCCTGGTTGCAACACCAACAGCGGCAAATGGTAGAGGGTCCAGGATTGGTGCTGCAGGGTAATAGTGCTTAGCCCTGGTACAATGCAAGTAGCAGCTACCTCCTTATATGTTATGTAGTCTGGGATAAGAGAGTAATTTTTTGGACAAATACTCAGTACCAACAGTAGAGACTGTGGTTTATTACAAACAATCCGATCTGTCACAAAGGTAGAGGGGGTCCCAGGGCAGCAAACGGCAGCAAATAAGCCCAAGCCCTGGCTGATACCACTTTTGCCTCTGAGAGGGTGAGGCTGCAGATTCCTGCTTATGGAGAGAGCAGGAGAACCAAGGTGCCTCCTTACAGTAGAGCAGTCAGTTGCCCTCTGCAGCTTTGTGAGAGGTGGCACTGGCTGCAGAAACTTGCAGCCCCATTGCCCTTGGTTGATTGAGAAATGGTCCTGGGAGAAGAGAGACCCAAAAGTTAAAAGAAAGGATGGACTTGAACAAAACACCCTAAAATACACGGAGGAGGAATTAGCTGAGATCTGGAGGAAGATCCAATTCTGTTATTGATGTCTACCACTCCTGAAAAATAATTAACACACCAAACAAACAAATTTTTATTGCTATTAAAAATCACAGTTATAAAATGGTGCCTTCACTGTGCTTTGTGGAAAATTAGGGCATATTCTGATACATGTGTATTCTGTAGTCATTATGCCACAAATAGGAACACGTAGAGATGTTCCATGTATGACTCATTGCTTCCACCCTTAGATACAGGACCCTACACAACAGCAGGTTCCGGGGGGTGAAAGTATGTGTGTGTAAATGAATGAATGAATAAATAAATAAATTATTGTTGCTGCTAAGGATATTAAGTTGCCTATTTACAGCTTTGGCTCAGTTTTACAATCCCAAACAGAGCAGGCATCAGCTCGAGGTTATTCCTTGCCTGCTCTGAGGCACGAGTCATGGAAATAAAGAATGTACATGCTCCTGACTGACTTGAAAGCTCACTGTTTTCGATGCACCAAGATGAGCTGGTTCTGGTTACAGCTAGCATTTCCATCATGATGAGGTGGTGGAAGTTCCCTGTCGTGTCTCCAATGACCTATTCCAACGACACTTGAACCAGCCATGTTTGCTTGAGCTGCTGATGCCAGGCTCGTGCTATAGGTTTGGGTGCGTGCTCAGGGTCTGTCTTTGGGTGTGCCTGTCCAAGTGATTGATCACGCACTGGTTGTAGCTTATACTTTGAATGCAGAGAAGTGTCCAGTAGTGCCATTGCACACAATGCTAATGTCTCTCACAGCCTCATGGGATGCTCATAGGATGAGAGGTATGATTGAAAATTATTGAAAGATTCAGGGAGTCTTGCTGCTCTGTTGTCCTTCTGAGTGATTACTCTGAGAATGGGTTACTCTGACCATGCATCCCTTCCATCCCAAACCATTCTCTAATTCTATGACTCCATGTTGGAATCAGGTTGGATACCAGGTTGGACAAGGCTTTGAGCAACCTGGTCTAGTGGAAGGTGTCCCTGCCCATGGCAGTGGGGTTGGAAACAGATGATCGTTAAGGTCCCTTCCAACCAAACCGTTCTATGATTCTATGACTCCATGTTGGTAATGGTCAAGCCACCTGGATTTTTCCATTTTATAGCCTCTTCCAGTTGAGCTCTAGAGATACCAAAATTCAAAGAAGGAGAGGAGAAGACAGCAGCTAATCAAACAACATATAATCTGTGGCAGGAGATGGCAGGGACTACCGAGGTGGGTTTCACACCACAGTGCAGTTAAGGTCCCTGCATTTCCAACCAGGATTTCCCAGGTAGAAACACAGGCATCTATGCTGCACCGCACTTGTTGCATGTGCCTAGGAGATGCTGGATTTACATGCTGAATAACCAGCATACGCTCATCAGGTCTGTTGTGTTGTGATCATGCTAAACATGTTGCAAGCGTCCAGACTAACAGTAGGAAGCATTTAGCAGGGAGGTTAACCCGCTGAACGCGCACAAGATCTACTGCCCTTCGGTTGTGTCGGTGAGGTGCGTGCATACTGGCAGTGCTCTCTGTGCCACCTGGGTGTGAGCGTGGCATGCACAGCTTTGACTGGGGACATGTTGAAAAGTCAATCTGTGCACATGCAGCACATCAAAAAATCATTTGGACTGGTCAGTTCTATTGTCTGAAGTAGGTGGCTGGACTCCAGATCATGATCCGGGTCTTTGTTTTCACTACAGTCAAAAGCTCTGGCTGGAAAAACATGATTTGTGCAGGGAAATCTGGGTCTTGTCTGTCCATGAATGTTTTCACTTCTGATAATGAAAGATGATGCTTTTTGCTGTGCTGTAACAGCCTCCCCCAAGCCTTTGGGAAGTAGTCAGAGGGCTTCCCCAAACAGCAGGTTTCTGGAAGTCTTGCTTACTAGGCACAGCTGGCAGGCACATGTGGCTGCCGGCAGACTCAGAAGTTTCATGCTGAACAATGAATGAGGTCTCTCTAAAGCTTATCATGAATATCAGTCTCCCCCCAAATGTCTTTACTCCTATTTTGCAGTGAGTGCTGCCATCTCTTTACCCTCCTGTTTGCCCTGGCTTCTGTACCTGCCACAACCTGGAACAGTCTACTAACGTGTTTGCTTCTCCTTCCTTCTGACCCGTTCTCCTGCCTGCTCCCAAGCCCCCTCAGTACTGGCAGTATCCCTCCAGACAAAAGTCAGGCCCTGGCAAGTCTGAATCTGAGTGGGATCCTTTACTCAGGCTGCTGGACGCAGCCCTCTCTTCTTCCCAGGCATCCAGCCTAGCACAACCTGGTTTTGCTACAGCAAATCTCTGAACCCTCGCTTGGAAAGCAGAGATGGAAGGGAAACTTTTTTTTTAATTTAAAATCTTCCAATGATTCTGTGCCATCATAGATTTGCAGATTTTTTTTTTGTCTCCTGTCCTCATTTGGCTTACACCAACTGTCTTCTACACACAAAGTCCAAAAAGCTAAGAAGGAACTGAAGCAAAGTTTCCTGGAGAGAAGTCCACATAAAATCTTCATATGAATGTCTCAAGTATCACGGATAAAGCAATGTTGTATTTGGCAGCTTTGGGCTCAATCTAGAAAGACATCGTTTCACTCCAGGTTTTGAGGCCATGTGAAGGCTGTGCCCCCAAACACCGGCAATTAGCATTGCTAGCTCAGCAGCTGGGCTGGGGCTGTGAACGCTGTTGCCGAACCTGACCTTCTCCAGAAACCACAGAGGTCCTCTGCTCTGTCCCACTCTGCCCCTCTCCCAAACTGTGTAACTTCCACATCAGAACTGAAATTGCCTTTTTTTGGAGGCGCTCTGCCTTGAGTTGTACAACCTTGGTACGTGGGCTGACTGAAGCATAGTTGACTGTGGTGTTGTGTTTGGTGTCTTCCTTCACTTTTAGTACCTCCCGAGACGAAGAAGCACAAGCAACGTCGCCAGAAATACCCGCTATGGCTCCCGTGGCTGATCTCACTGTTGCTCCTCTTGCTGTGCATCGCCCTTGTTACTGTTTTCTTCGGTGAGTATGTGGGGGCTGGCTACAGGAGAGAGGTCTAGAGGGAGTGCTGGGAGAAATGCAGAGAAATTGGAGCCCAGAGGGGACTATCTTCCAACCAGGAGACTGCTTTTACTCAGGAACAGTTTTGTCATGAGAAAGAAGGCAAGCACCAACATTTGGGCTCAGAAAACCCAAATGTGGAATATTTGAAAGGTATGTTTAGGAGCAAAATCTTTCCTGACTACTTAAACATTGGAGATTTAAGGGTACAGTTGCGACGTGACACAAGCCTCTCTCTTGCAGGCCAGCCAAACCAGATGTTTTGGTCAGCTAGTACGCGGGAGCTAGGACTACCACAGCATTATGCCAGATGGTTCTGTTATACTCATCCTCTTTCTTAGAAGGACGGAAAGAGTTAGGTGGGAAGGAGCTTCGGGAGGTCTCTAGCCTAATGCCCTACTTGAAGCACGGCCAGTTTCAGAATTTCAGGGTTGTTTGGGCTTTCTGTAAGGTCTCAGGCTTTTCTGCCCTGACTTTCTATACATCTGCATACATCCCCCAAATCTTCCACTGTTTACCCAGCAGCCTTTTAAGTGTTCCTGGATTGCACATGCCCATCTTGAATGGCCTCTTTGGAACTGTGGAACAATTCTCTACCTTCATACCGCACAAAAAGAACTTAATTACATTCAGCAGAAGGGGAAAAAATGAGATGGGATCACAAATGTGTATACAGGCAGCTGGATCTGCACCTGAGCTCTCTAACGTGCTTGGACACACTTTGTGTCCTAATGGAAAAAATGACTTTTCACAGTCCTGGCATCTCCAGGATTAACTGCATGGTGCAAACTCTCACACCTTTTTAGTGTTAATTGCAGTATACTAGAATAATTCATAAGAAGTTATTCTTGCACATGCAGTTTGTGGAGATTGTGATCTCTTTTTCAGTCTCATTTTTTGCTAAAGATCATTCACAGCATGTTTGCACAAATAATCAGTAAAGACGGATTCTGGTAGAGACATGTTGTCAGGATAAATTGCTGCCCTTCCTTTTGCTGTCATTAGTTCCCGAGTCCCAGAAGTTTGTACTGCTTTGTTCCCAAATGTATAACTTTTCACAGTACTCTCTTAAATGGTTGGGGATGTTTAGGGTGGGCTGTTAGAGTCTGACACTCTCCGGCCAGGTTTTTTTAGATATTCCACACATGGAAGGTTTAATCTTTAATGGCAGATTTACTTATCCAAATTAATTGGTGTTACGTAGTATTTTGATTTGGCGGAGTGATACAGCAATGTATTTAAATGAAACCACAAGTTAGCAGAGGGTAGCAATTGCACTGCACAGTTGAATCACGGTACAAATGTGATTCTCATTACCAGTCTCTGCAATATGCTCAACATCAAGACACTGGGTGTCCCCAGTGACCAAGAAGGAACATGTGGTTAAAGCCAGCTCAGGCCCATTGCTTTCTTCAGAGACCTTTTTGTTAGTCATTCCATTTTTTTCACTGTCTTCAGCTAAGCCATGTATAAACTCGCCCCATGCTGGTCTGGCTAACTTTGGAAGACATTGCCCTCTTTTTGATCTTTAGAGTGATTGAACAGTTACACAGCTGGTCAATTCACTCAGCTGATACAACTGGTTGATTCACTCAACTGAATGAGAACAAAAGCCATTGTCTTGTCCCCTTTGTGTTGAGATAAGGTCATCTTTCTTCGCAACACGTGTGGTCAGTCACGCATCACCCTTGCCCATCTCCTCTGAGCCTTCTTCCATTGTCGGAGTTCACTAATCAGGCACAGAGGCCACTATGATTACTCTGCCCTCCTCACCAGTAACGATAATTCTAAATGAAACAATTGATAAATATAGACATCTCTATTACTTGTCACACCCTGATCAGCTTCCAGTCAACATCCCATAGTGTTTGAGTTAGTGATAAGTTCTTCGGGTTGTGGATGTGGCCTGCTGACACCCGTCACCAACACTATATTATTCCCCATAAACTGGCTAGTTAAGACCTAGGAGTTTATCTTCCACCTGGCTGGTTTCAGCGACTCCAGCTGTATGTGATTACCTTCGCCTGGACTGTCTTTGTTGCTGATGAAACAGGCCCATTTGATGCGTTATTCATCCAAACCACTGTTGATGTCTAGCTTAGAAAGAGATAAACTGTGCCACTGAAGTGCTGCTTTTTGTTCACTGATTGTAAAGAGATTTAGACAGACAGCTTGGCTGTAGGTATCTACATGGTAAATGCCTGTGGTTGGGTGGAATCAATCCCACCCTGTCTGGCATGTCCTCAGTGTGATGTCCTTCCAGTGGTCCTTCCACTCTCTGATATGGAAGATTGTCTCTTTCTGGCCGGGAAGGCAGCCATACCACTTGTTCAGGCCAGTTTCTCAGAGCCATGGACCACGGATCCACTAACCCCACACCTTCAGCTCCACAGCATCCGAAGGGGCCTGATGTCAGCTGCTTGGTGCTGGGACAGACTCTGTGGACAAACCACAGGCTGGCTATGGCCACCAGGCACTGCTCGGGTAGGTCACAGGCTTCTCTAGCTCAGCTGGCCAGGTCATCCTGGCTAGATCTTATCAGTCAGTGGGCAGAGGAGTCCTTGCAGGCAGCTATGGGATACTGGGAACAGCGATGCCTGTTACCTTCGCTTGAGAGGATGGCAATTACCACTTGTGAAATGGGAAGAGACAACCCGAGGAGAGGCAATGCTGGGACAGTGCTTGGTGGGGAAATGGGGAAGTAACAGTGAAGCCAAGAGATGGTGTGCGAAGAGCTGGGAGGAAAGGGTAATCCTGCTGCCTTTCCTCTCCCTTTCCAGTCGCTCCCTTCTCCCGTCGTGGTGACGAGCCCACAGCCCTGCAGCAGAAATTCATGAAGTGGCAGTGTGTCTCGGCAGTGCCACAAGGCAAAGGTCAGTAGTGCTGGCAGGGGTGCAGGAGGTCTTTGGGACGGGGAAAATGAATGCTGGGGTCTGCTCTGACAGCAAGGGGCAGTGGGAGCAGACTCCAGAGGAGAGTGGTGGGGAGAAAAAGGATTTATTGCTAAGAGCTTCGGTGGAGGAGAGGGCTATGTTAATGATGTCCTGAAGAGTGGCTGTGAACACTAACAAAACAAAAAGGGCAGCACACAGGACAAGAGAAAACAGCCTCAAGTTGCACCAGGGGAGGTCCAGGTTGGATATTAGGAAGAACTTCTTCACTGTAAGAGTTGTTAGGCATTGGAACGGGCTCCCCAGGGAGGTGGTGGAGTCACCATCCCTGGAGGTGTTCAAAAAACATTTAGACGTGGCCCTTTGAGACATGCAGGTTTAGTGGGCATGGTGGCATTGGGCAGATGGTTGGACGTGATGATCTTTGAGATCTCTTCCAACCATAATGATTCTATGATTCTGCAGCGGCACGGGGAAGGTTAACAATGGAGCAATAATAAAGGTGCAGCTCTAGTCCGGGAAAGAAGCAATATCCCCTGTTCCCTGGGGCTAAAGGCCTAAAGGAGACTGCACAAGGAGAAGTCAAACCAGGTCACCAAAATAACCTTGTCTTTGTCAAGACCTGAGGTGATCTTACAAGGATTACCGTGGATTTGTGTATACAAAGCTCACTGGTCATACCCCAAAGCAACTGGAAGAAATATCTGTACTATTCTTGTTTTTACAAGCACTTTCTGTCAGGAAAAGTGATCCATGGAGAACATGAGCATCGTCCCCGGAGAACCGGGCAATCACCATCTCTGTTGT